TCAGAGTGGCTTACAAACTCCTTTCCCTTCCCCTCCCCACCACAGACACCCTGCAAGGTAGGTGGGGCTGAGAGAGCTCTGACAGAAACTGCTCTTTTTCAAGAACAGCTCTTATCAGAACTATGGCTTGCCCAAGGTCATCCAGCCAGGTGCAAGTGGAGGAGTGGGGAATCAAACCCGGTTCTCCCAGATGAGAGTCCGCGCACTTAACCACTACATTAAAGGGGATGGAATACTCCGTAACTGAGTGTCAAAAGGTCAGCCAGCTTTGACTGACTTTAAAAGGTCCATTGTCTGCCTCTCTACAGAATCTTAGCTGGCTGCCAGATTGCCTTCAAGCAATTTCCCCCTGCCTGGTCCCTCTGGGAAACCCCTGGCTTCAGACCCTGCCTAGCAAGATGGGTCTCTTTCCTGTTCGGGAAGCGGTCTCCTCGGGACACTGCACAGGTGTTGCAGCCGAGCAGCCATGTCCTGGAAGAACAATTAGCTGACTGTTCAGTTGCTAGACATCTTCTCTTTTTAATAAGCGGGAGGACAATCACCTAACTGTCTGCAGCTGTCCCCGAGGCAGTACACTCCCCAGGTGGGCACGCCACTTCCTCGTAGACAGTTATTTCATGAGACGAACATGGGCTTCCTGCTTGGGGAATGAATGGGCCATGCAAAGTCTCATCAGCACATACGCTGGGCAGGTTCAAACTAGTTGGAACCAGTGTTCCCTCTAAGTTGAGTTAGCGTGACCTAGCTCACAGTTTTTTAGCCTCCGGCTCACGCATCTTTGTCTTCACTCAGGAAGGAGGGCTCCAGAGCAAACTAATTGATGCAGTAGCTAAATTGCTCACTCGCAACTTTAATGCCGGCAGCTCACAAAGTAGAATTTTTGCTCACGAGACTCCACGGCTTGGAGGGAGCCTTGGTTGGGACTGGGCTTAGTTTCCCCCAGAAAAGTGCTGGGTATTGTAACTTTGCATGAAGGGAGAAGAGACGGGATTTATATCCCGCCCTTCGCTACCCAAAGGAGTCTCAGAGCGGCTTACAAACTCCTTTCCCTTCCCCTCCCCACAACAGACACCCTGTGAGGTAGGTGAGGCATACAAGAGGATCTGGGAGGGA